CGGGTGAGCGGTTGGATTCGGAGTAGAGGTGAGGAGAGGAACGAGGAAGTGATTCACTTGGATTCCATATTAATAAACAATAACAAATTAATTTTAACAGGCAGGAATACACGATATACGATCTTTTCCATATTTTCTTAAATTTAATGGTTGCGAGAGAGAGAGTTTACAGGATATTCGCATGTGGATAAATATCTTATATAGAAGTTGAGGATTGATGACTGGATAATTCACAGTCCGGATTCTTGGGGTGTTTGATGGAATGTTCTTGATATTCAGAGTGTTCAGGTAACAGGAGCAACTTTGGAGGGTATCTGACTTTAGGTGTGTAAGATATCCTTATGATAAGGTTGGCGGATGTACAGTATTTTGCATGGTATGAATTCTTGAAGAGACAAACTTTGGAGGATGACTTTGTGGACAGACTTTGGCGGACGACTTTTCAGATGGACTTTGGAGGACAACTTTTCGGACGGACTTTGGAGGACGACTTTGTGGACAGACTTTGGAGGACGACTGACCTGGTTTCTTTTTCATCGCCCTCCCTTGCTATTCCTCTTGGGTTTTTTCCATGAGTTTGGGAGTTTGTTGTTAAGGGTCTGGCATCCAATACTGGAAATTTATCGAAAGTTCCAGGTGACACATCAATGACCAGATGGATCATCCTCAACAAGGAAGCAAGTCCGTGGAAAACAATTTTTATGGATTTTAGCCTGATTTTTGATAAAATGATCGAAGTTAAATGATTGAATTCCAAAATAATTAAAATTTAAAATAACACTTTATTGAGGGTCTGTTTGTCCCTAACAAATGTTTTCTATTATACAATAATATAACATGTAAGAGAATATAACAAAATATATATTTTGATATTTATTAAAATATGATATATGAAAGTATATATAATGTAAGTATACATAATGTAAGAGAATATAGTGTATCATCTGAAGCACTGAATAATATCTTGATTTCCATTGCATAGAATTTTTTTTATATAAAAATTACTAAGTCTTTTTTGTATTGAAGATCAGTTGAAATATCCTTTTGTAAAGTGTATAAAAAAATTATAAGACTTATACTTTAAGAAATTAATTTAAAAATATTTAAGGTAATTAATAGAAAACAAATGTTAAAAGTAAATAATGTTAAAAGTAAATAATGTTAACAGTCTTTATCTAATATCAAACATTTCAAAGATATTACTCTGAAAAATCAAAAAGAACTGTAGTCAAAAAAAGGAATGTGGCAATCTTAGAGAATAAATATGTAGGCATAGAAATGAAAAAGGTTTGAGTACTACTGATGCTCTGTGTATGAAGAACTAGGACTGACAAGGACTCAAACAGCAATACATAAAAATATTGGTGTCTGTTCTGAGGCTATTAGAGTTGTATGAATATTAAAACTTAAAAATTAGTGAAGAAATAAAAATAATAGGATTATTCAATTGATCTCTGATTAATAATATAATTAATGTAAAATATGAATGACATCTTATACTGATGCTTTATTTAACCTATGGTGCTGGCTAGCTAGAAGAAGAAAGTTGCTATCTTCTTCACTACTAAACTTTAGCTTCAGTTTTATTTTTATAATTTTATTTATTTTTTTTATTACCGTTAATATATTTTTATAGAGTTATATTTTATTTTTTATAATTTTCATTATCTTATTATTTTGCTGCCAATATTATATTTTTAGTTTTTTGTGATATAATTTGTTTTTTATTAATTAATATAAATTATCAATTAATAATAATTATTAGTAATAATAAATACTACACAAAAGTCTAGAAACATCAGGGTTTTACAACATCACATACATCATACTGTAGAAAGCAATCATAATAAATGTATGCCATGTAATCAGGAAATTCTTAAACAGATAAATAAACAAATATGTAAACATAATACTTAAATAGCTTGTTCTGCAGCTATGTCTTGACTCTGGTCCAGCATAGTGCTTGGCATTGGTATATATACCAAGTAGGGTACACTCTACCAACATCGCCGTGGTGGTGGTGGTGGTGGTAAAAAAATTAGCAATGAGTTGCATAACTTTTCCCACCTGTTATGAGATTTTATTTGAAAAATAACTTTTATATTATTAATTATAATAAATAAATAAATAAAAATATCTGTGGTGCCATCTATTTTGAGATTTTGTTATAAAAACTTTCTATATTTTTAATTATTATAAAATGACAAAATGCTTAATTTTGAGAACAGAGGTGAGTTCTACAAAAAAGCTGTAAATGCTAACAAGTAAAATCTTCATTAAATCTCCATTCAGGATATGACACATGACCAGTTTCTATCTGTCCATCCCCTCAACCTTTCACATCCAAAATTTAATAGCATCAATGCCCCTTATATACAAGCTACCAGGCTAAATTTTGTTTCTTAATCATTACCCCATCCTAAGATATTAAATGAAATAGATTCCAACACACACACACATCCACTGAATTTTTTTGCTTTTTTTTTACTTTTTTAGGTTTAGAGCAGTGTTCCACAACCGGTGTGCCGTCACATAGTGAAAGGTGTGACGTGAACTTTTACATATTCTGTTAATTTCAAATTTTATTTATATATTTTTATCACAGTTGTTGTGTTTCTTATGCTTGTATTTCTTTCTCTGCCACAGCACTGATGAAATAAGATGATATTTGTTTATTCTTTACTACAAGCCATGCATTTTTATGTATTTTAAGAAATTATATGTAAAAAAAATTGCTCACAGGTGTTGATGTCTGTTTAATAACGATAATAATAGGTTAGTGGCATTACATAATTCTATTAATAGTATCATATGATACTAAAACATAAAAACAAAAACAAAAATCATATGGTACGTTTTTGAGGGGAATAACATTTTGGTGTGCTGTGTTGAGTCATGGGTGTGCTGCAGGTAGAAAAAGGTTGCAGAACACTGGTTTAGAGGATCTCAAAGCATGGATATTTGCAAAAACTCTCTCATTTGCAAATTTGACACAATTCCAGTAGTTTTTGTTATTATATATTAATTTGGCGTGTTAGTCATCGTATTGATTACTAAGAGATGGAAACTGTGAAAAACCTCTTCTACACCTTGCTGAAGCAAAAGAAACAGTGGCACAAACTCCAATAGTTTTCCTTGTTATGTATACATAATAGCCAGGAAAGTAAAAACAGCTGAACATGTAAAATAAATTTAATTCTTTTTGAAACAGACCTCTTTCTACTTTAATAATTATTTATTCTGATAAAACAAAGGACAGAGTATAAATAATTAGTTTATAATTTATACTTTATTAAGTACAGGTAACCTCCATATAACACAGGAGTTATGTTCCAAAAAATTGCCATGTTATGCAAACCCATGTTATATGAAACAAAAAACTAGTGCAAAAAGGGGGTTAGATTCCAAAAATTAAAAAGCATGCTGTTAAATCCTTACTTAAATCAGATTTATTATTCTTTTTTTTCATAGGTAAAATACTTATTTATTATTTTAGTAAATATTTTACCAGAGGATTATTCATCCTATATGATGATCTCAGCATGAGCATCAACAACTGGTAACAGTTTTGGCTGCATTTGTTAATAGCGGTCACTCTGCAATGGGACTGCGCTGCTGTTTGTAGGCATTTAGGAACGACGGTGAAAGAAAGATGGCAGCGCCTGAACTATCAATAGTATTGTGATTGAGGAATCTATAATTCTAAAATGAGCTTTTAGAGTCAAAAGAAGGGTCCCAATTGTAAAATTTAACCATTAAATGGATTATTTGTTGAAAGAGCATTCAAAGTTGCCATGAAAACAATTAGAATGCTCACGTGGAGTTATGCAGAGGTATAAAAGAATGCACCCTTTATTACATTTCATGTTGTACGAGGGTTTTATCCAATTTCCGAACTGTGTTAGAGTGAATCCGTGCTATAGAAGTGCTGTGTTATACGGGGGTTACCTGTATTTAAAATATTTCATTACAAATTTACATAACTTACATAACATGTTACAAATTAATTAATTTTATGTGTAATTTAAAAAAGTTTTAAAAATAAAAATTCTGTAGCATTCTGATATATAATGTTTTAATACATTGTCATTTATTTAAATACAATCAAAACTCAGTACAGCAGCAATCAATATAATGATAAATCCCTCTACAACAATAAGAAATATAGTTCCCTATGCAATTTGTATAAACTTAATGTAAAACTTCTCCCAATTGAACAATATCCTCTGCTATAATAAATCTCTGTTTAGTGATACATTTTTTTACTGTATTTATAAAGTACACAATATTTTTATTTCTTTACAATGATGATAATGCAGTAAATTAAATTTTAATTAATTTTGATTAGTAGGTATTAATATAGACATGTGGAGTTTCCAGATTTAGCATGTTTTTAGTATTTTAGTGCCTAAACTTATTTAACATAATAAATTTCTCTTAGAAAGTGTACAGAGATCTCTTAAATCTACAAATAGTGTTTATTAAAATAATTAAACAGAGTATTCTCCTTAAGAAATTATATTTTAGAATTAATTTAGTTTTACTTAGATCATTTTTGACTAGGAAGATTCAGGTTCTGACTGGTTTTGGATTTTGATGTTTAACATATATTGTAGAAATGATACGCAATAAAATCTTTTAGTAGAGGATACTACACGTTTTTATAGAATAAACACTACATAAGAATAATATTACATGTTTTTCTGTTCTCTGTTCTAACATTAGCAAATTATGTAGAAATAACCCTATTTGCAGTGTGACAATGTTAAACAAAGAGAATGCTTTTTTAAAAACTCTCATTATAACAATAAATCTTTCTATAACAATATTTTTTCTTGTTCTGCTAAATATTGCTGTAAAGAGATTTGACTGTATATATATTTATATATTTTACAATAGTTTTCATTTTACATTTGATATTCTATTTATATTTAATAAATTATAAATAATGTAAACAAAATATATATTTTACTTTATATTATAACAATTAATGTTTACAGGAGAAGTGATAAAATGTTTAAAGTTATCATCTCTTGAAATCAATCTCAAAGATTTGGAAATTACTCTAGATATATTGTGTCTATCTTTACCACCTGAAGTAGAATATCCTCAGTTGCAATTCATTTCTCCCTTGTATGAACAAGATACTGAAAATATTAGAAATGAATGCAAAAATTGGCAATTATTACCAAAGTATGTACTTTTTAATTAATTAAACTTAATTATTTATTAGAATTATATCAATTACAACAACATTTAATTATTGAATTTATGATGATAATTTATTATTTTACTATTCTTTACTAGAATTATCATTTATTATTGTTACCTGAAGTGTATATTGTTTTAATAATTTATGATATTTAAATTAATATTTTAAAAATGTTTTTGGATTATATTTGTAGCATTTGATTTAGAATTTTTGTGTGTGAAATTTCATTAAAATAGAGAGAGAATTTTTATTTAATTGCTAAATACTAAAACTGTAAAAGATTGGTAATATATTTATGTATTTCTGGGAATATTATTGATACTGTAAGGTCTCTTTTTATGCGGATTATTTTTATGCAATTTTGAAGTTGTGCGGTTTGTATTTCATCCAAAAATTTCTTGGACAAACATACATGTAGGCTTGTTTAGGAAGCCCGCGTATAGACAGTCTCCAAAAATCGTGGAACGCTCAAAGCTCACTCCCTTTGTTCCGCTGACATATAACGTTTATGGATGTAAAGGACAGCTAGATCTACCTTAATCGCTTTAGTTCTTAGCAATTTTTGATATAAATGTAATTAAACATAAAAAATACTTAAAACTGAAAAAAACGAAAGAAATGCGTTAATTTTGAAGAAAAAGCTTCAAAAGTTTAACTTCCTTTGTCTCGGCCTTCTGTGAAATTTAACACCGATGAGTCATTGTTTACACATCTGGATGACCTTGAACATAGCTGGAGTTGGATTTCCCGACGCATTCTCATAGACGTCGCGGGAGGACAAGGGTTTAAAGTAGGGTGAACAATAGCTGGCCGTATATTTTTAAATATTTTTTAAAAGTTTGGAGACTTAAAAAACATTCCAAAAATTCAAAAAAAAATTTCAAAAATGGCCTTAAGGATCGTGTTTTATGTAACACTATGTAACCTGCCCGAGTTAACTCGGGCGAGGAACTAAAGGGGTTTTAATTAACTCTTCACATCCAGATGTCAGTGATTTGTTTTTAGAGTGAGCTTTTGCAATTCGGGGATTCCCCTTGTACATGATACTTACCATTGACAAGTCACTATTACATCATTCTGAGTTTCGCATTGAAAGGTATAAACTGTAATTGTTTTGAAATTAAATTTTATATGAATTTCTTTCAGACATTCAAAGTAATTTATTAATTAAGCAGCCTATTTCTTTTAATTTCTGCAAACTTTTTTATGCGGTTTTAAGTTAATTTTAACTCGTTGTTTTGGTTTTATGCGATTTTAGAAAATTACGGAACGTATCCCTACTTTTTCAAGGCAAGTAAAGTCTTTTTTTATGTGAATTTTTTTATATGTGCTTTTCTGTAGAACGTATCCACCGCATAAAACGAGACCTTACAGTATATTGTAATTTCTAATTTGAGAAAATTGAGTTATTTCAACTGAAATTTTGTTACTTTAAGTGTAATTTCTTTACAGCTGCAACTTGATCTTTATACAATAATTTTCATTAAAAATCAACAAGTATAAACATAATTTCATTAATGGCCATCAACATCTGCTATAATATCAAACATATTATACACAGGATAGGAATTATTGTTTGATTAGGAAATCATCAACATTTATTGATTTATGTTATACTGGGAATGCAATTCAGACCATATTATTGTCCCTCATTAGTCCATGTACAAGTTATACATTGTTAGCAATCATACATCTTTTTAGACAAATGAATATACATAATCCTAAAATTTCCTTCTCATGTCAGGACTGATACCAGTTTGGATTGAATTTATCGCATCCTAACTCGTGAATTCTATGGAATGTATCGGCAAAAGAGGACGTTTCTAATTTAGAGTGGAGAGTGTCTTTTGGCACCAGTAATCCACACAAGGTCTGTTTAACAAGTAAATCAATTTAATAAGCTATTAAATTGATTTACTTGTTTATTTGATTTAATTTATTGCCTCCGTAAATAAATTGAATTGAATTGAATTAATAAGCTAAAGCAAGGAGTACATAGAAACTACAGCCCATATACAGTTACACTATTCATCTTCATTTGATAGTACATTTAAGATCAGCTCGATATCAACTATCTAAGCACTTGTTCCTTAAAGTGACCGTGTACATATACTGAAACAAGAGAGAGAGTTTACGATCGAGAGTATAATACTTTGAGACTCAATGTTTCCAGATCCTATTCATTTGATATTGGTAAGATGATCATGAATTTAGTTGAGGTACTTTCTGGGTGATTCATATCTGGATGGGAGCGGGGAGAAGGACGAGAAGTCACAATTCACCAAGTCAAAGCTACTCCTGAGGGACTGATCACAAAGATCGGTGCACTCACATTATATGGGTATTTAGTGTGGGAATCTGATCAGATGACCATTTATTTGGTAGTGATGACACATCAAAGGTGTCATTGCTGGATGATAAAACTAGACAAAGAAGGTTTAGGATTTCTTTCAATTGTTTTTAGATTTCTTTCTTATACCAAGTTAAGTGTCAACTTTCTCACATATTGGCTATAATTTCACAGGTTGATGTGAGGGGAGGACTCTATCACTTTGATGACTTTAGAGATATGATTTCTTTAGTTATTTGCTGACAGTTAAGTTAACATTCAATAGTTTACAGTATTTTACTCCGTGGGAACTGATTGGAAAAAGAAGGGTTTCTAAAATGCATTGTTTTTTCATTAAAAATTTAGAAAAGGGTTCTCACAGATAAGAATAATTCCTATCCTAATCAAGCAATAATTCCTGTCCTGTGTATAATAAGTCTGGTATTATAGCAGATGTTGATGAAAAGTAAGAAACAACAACGAGGCATGAAGCAAATACAAGAAAAGTATAAATGTAAATGCTTGTAATGAGATTGAAGGCCAGTAGCATGAGTTTTAACCTTGAGATTAAATGTACTTTAATGTACCGAATTATTTTTGATGTGTTGTGTGAGAAATCAGGTTTGATATGGTTGAGTTATCAAACTATTATTGATTACAGGTCAGTAAGACCCACTCATGTTGTGAATGGATGGCTTGTAATATAAAATTTTAGACTAAAAATCTTAGTCTAGTCAGGACCGACACCAGATAGGGTAATTATTCACGCCCTAACTCTCAATATTAAAATTATAATAAAAATTTTAAAAAAAGGAGGGCTATTAGTTACGATGGGGAGTGTGATAGGTATGTACATCAGTAGGGTGTTCGATATTTAACTAAAATGAGCATTCACTTCCATTTTAACAAATAAAGGTATATTTAATAAACAAATAAAATTAAGAATTTAAATGGATATATATAAAGTAACCTAGAGGGCTTTGACTTATCTAACTGTAATGCTATTAATATATATTGAGAGAGAGTTTACATAAATATATTAATAATACCTCAGTTATACATATGTCCTTAGAAGGCAGAAGTTTTGGAACCAGAAGAGATCAGGCACAAAATTAATATATATGGCAATTACTGTAGAATGCATGCAGAGTTTGGCACGTAAATTCCTTTTATACAAATATTCTCTTCCAATGAGAATTAAGTAATTTGACCATCTGATGGGATGTCAAGATGAGTCTTATTTAGATATTCAGTCATAGGAGAGATAATGATCTTTCTCGGGAACTAACAGTCAAAAAGGAAATATTTGTTCTTGTTCTCCTTGACTTTTTTATAAAATAGAAGTTTCAAATTTAATATCAAANATTTTTTTGCGACCCACAAAAATATAAAATAAAGATATATACAAATTTGCATAAAAATACCAATTCAATATTCAGATCTCACAGTTGCATAAATGTAAATTTTGGAATAAACTACTGGTTAAGTTAACCAACCAATTTTGGATGATTAAATTTTATTCTATAGATCAGGACTTCTTAAACTTTTTTTATTCACGACACCATTTATGATTGTGATTTTTTCGCGGCCCAAAAAATATAAAATAAAGATATATACAAATTTGCAAAAACAATAATGGTGTACTACCACAATTCACTCTTGTGTTACAATGGAACAGAGACAACTGAATACACTAAAAGCAACAACACTACACTAGTTCACACTACAATCAGTGTTGCTGAATCATTGTCTTGCTGCATCAGAAGTGACACAAAGCGCAACTCACAAAACCTATGACACAAAGCGTGCCATTTTCAAACTCTCACAAATTATTTTCAATATTTTACATTAAAATCTCGCAACCCCAAGATTTCGCTAAGTGACCCCTAATGGGATCACGACCCATAGTTTAAGAAGCCCTGCTATAGATGAAGAAAATAACAAGCCAGTTGATTCTGATGTTGATAATCTTTATTTAAACTATATGATCTTTTAGTGTTGTATAGTGATTATAAATTATAAGAATTAGCTTTAATTTAAAACCACTACAGTTTTATGTTAATTGTCAGAGTTAAGTGAATCTTACTTTATTTACATTAACATAATAATTAATTATTTTTCAGTATAAAGTACATATATTAAAATCTTATAGATAGTGTCTACCATATCTTCTAATAAATATTTTTGACTATATTCCAATGAGTCTTACACTTTCACTTATTTTTATTTCATCTTGTTTATTATTACTCTTGATAACATAACTGCACAATACTATTTTTCAGTTAATTGGTTGATAACTATCCATTGAGTCAAAATAACTCATGCAATGAACACAGCTTATTTTTAGATTTGTGACAAGGTTAAATTTACTTCACAGATTGTTATTTTGTAGTTTAAATGAAAACTCATGTAACTGGCCCTGAAACTTGAAATCTGGCAAATAAGGCATCTTAACAAACTCTGTTCATTTTAACATTAAATTAAATTAATCAGAGAATCTTCACATGCATTCAACATTATATTTATATAACTCAGTTAATTAAAAATAATTAATACTTCAAAATTTATTAAGTTAGCTTTACAAGCTAAAATTGCATTACAGAATATAATGAGAACATTTGGAAATGAAGATTATTATACAGGTATCCCTTG